CTGACTCCCAGCCCAGCCTTTGTGACCCCTGCTCACTGAACCACGAGGCATGCTTACAGTGCCGGCTCCAAGCCCACCTCCTACCCCATCATTAGGCTTCTGGAAGCTAGATGGTCCAGAGCTGAATGCCCTGTCTGACCCCGCAGTGCCTCCAAGGAGACGGACGTGACTGCCTTCTAAGCTAAGATGAAATTTCACCAAAGAAATGGGGCAACAGCCAGATCAAAACCAAACTCATTATTCTTGAGTTGATTCCGACTCATCCTGAGCCTGTAGGACAAGAGTAGAACTCCCCCACGAGGTCTCCAAGGCTACCATCTTTACGGAAGCAGACTGCCTCGTCGTTTTCTGGCAGAGTGGCTGATGGGTTCGAACCACCAACCTTTCAGTTAGCAGCCAAGCACTTAATCACTGCCACCAGGGAGTGACCAGGGAGAGAAAAATGAACTCATTCCTTCAATTCAAAGTCATCAACTGGATGATTGCCTTTTTACCTGGAAAACCCTTCCTCTCTTCCACTCCCTCACTCCTCCTCCTTCCCTTTCCTGCCTGACATTAGGCACAGACTTAGGACATTCCCACTCTCCTAGACCTTCAGAGTACTTCCCAGAAGAAAGACAACCACTCCACCCTGGGAAAGATAGGCACGCAAGTCCCACCCTATCCCCGTTAAGAAACCATTTGCCATCGAGTTGATTCTGACCACGGGGACCCCGTGAGTATCAGAACTATGCTCCGTGGGGTTTTCAGTGGCTGATGTTTTGGCAGTAGGTCACCATGCCTTTCTGCCAGGGTTCCTCTGGGTGGACTCAAACAGCCAACCTTTTGGTTAGCGGCCAAGTGTTGACCATCATTTGCACCACTCAGGGTCCCCCACCCGCGTTAAAACGTCACAATCACATCTTCCTTCTGCAGACAAAAGTACCTGATTTATCTCCTGCGATTCTCTCCATGCAATGGCATCTTCTGCAGTACGGGGCTCCTCTAAGGTTACTTGTTCAGATTTAAATTCTTGGGGATACTAGGAAGACAGGCTGGAAAGAGACTTCCCTTCCCCAGAGGTCAGGGTAAAGTCTCCGGTTTTTTTTTCTTTGTTTACTTTGTAAGTCCATTTGCCCTTGAAGAGAGCTCCCTACCACCTCCCCTTCTTTCCTGTTCAGTCTCCTCTGTGGGAACCTTCCTCAACTGCTGTAGGCCAGATTTGGAACTTGACTTAACCCAGTGGTTTCTAAATTTTGCTGCACGCTGAAATCACCTAGGGAGTTTTGTTGTTGTTGTTGTTGTTGTTGTTGTTTAAACTATGATGCTTCGGTCACACCCCAAACTAACATCGTCAAAATGTCTGGCGGTGGGAGCCACACATATATGTGTTTTAAAGATGCCCCGGGAGACTCCTAAGTACAGTCACGTCTGGGAAGCACTGCTTTTAGCCTTGTCTGCTTTCTCTCCTACAAATGCCTCTTCGCATCACAGCCAAGAGCATGGTCAAACTCAGCCCTGGCCTCTAGACCAGCCAGGCTAGAGGCTTGAGAATCTAAACGAGCCCTCGCTCCTGATAATCAGGTACTCCCAGGTTACGAAGGAGGTCCACTCTAAATCGAATGTGTAGGTAAGTTGGAACAGTTCTTATTGAGCCTGACTTTAGTGCAAGAAAAAGCTTGGAGCTTTTTCAGTGATTTAAAAGCTGCATGTGCAACAAGTGAAAGTAATTGTGATGAAAAATCCATTGAGGGGTCAGTTCAGTTGTTTCAAACCCAAAACCTAAACTCAAAACCACTGCCACTGAGTCAATTCCGACTCACAGTAACGTTATAGGCCAGAGTAGAACTGCCGCATAGGGTTTCCAAGGCTGTAAATCTTTTGTGTGTGTGTCTGTGTGTGTGTGTGTGATTTGGGTGAAAATTTACAGAGTAAATTCATTTTCCATATAGCAGTTCATACACATTTTGTTTCATGATATTGACTGCAATTCCCCACAATGTAACAGTTCTTCCTGCTTCCTCTCTGTAGTTACCTCTTCCCTGTGTCCTTCCCTCCCAAGCACTCCCGCCCCTCAAGCTGGCTCCCTGTGCAAACACTGCCCTTTGGTTCTCCTACAGTTGATCACTCCAAGGACTGTATCTACCTAATGTAAATGTTCTCACCCCATATGCCTGTCTGTTGTTTGGTTGGAAGCCACAAGAATGAGTTCAGTTCCAGACCTGAAGGGTAACTCGGGGCCATAGTCTCAGGGTTCTCACTGGGCTCTATCAGATCACCAAACCTGGTCTTCTTTTATGATTTTGAGTTCTGTTCCACATTGTTTTCCCACTCTATCCAGGGTCTTTTGCACCGATCACCCTCCAAGTGGTTGACAGTGGTAACCAGGCACCATCTAGTTCTTCTGGTCTCATGGTTATACAGACTGAGGATCGCATGGTCTACCAGTCCTCTGGACTAATTTTTTCCATGTGTCTTTGGTTTTCTTTTTTTTTCTTTGCTCTGTTCGAGGAGAGATCCATTGTTGTATCTGGATGTCTGCTTGCAAGCTTTTAAGACCCCAGTTGCTACTCACCAAAGTAGCATGTAGAATAGTGTTTTTGTGTAGTATGCTATGAAAAGGCTATAAATCTTTATGGAAGCAGACTACCCCATCTTTCTCCCACAGGGCGGCTGGTGGGTTCAAACTGCCAACCTTCTGGTTAGTAGCCAAATGCACTGCACTGTCACAGTTCCTTCAGTTATTTCAAAGTAAGGGCAAATTTATATAACATTAAAGTACAGGTTGTCTGTAAGTTGGACATTCATAACCCAGGGGACTTACTCTTATTGCAGTTCAGGCTTTGGCTTTGCCTTTTCCCCCAGATTCAGTCCCATCTTATACATAGGTTCCGGCAATTGAACTCAAACCACAACAACATTTATAGCATACTATTATAAGCCGTTACAGGAGAAAGATGAGGCACTCTGTTTCTGTAAAGATTTACAGCCTTGGAAACCCTATGGGCAGTTTTACTGTGTCCTATAGGGTTGCTGGGAGCTCTGGTAGCATAGTGCCTCAGGCACTTGAGTGCTAACCAGAAGGCTGGTGGCTCAAACCCACCAGCCACTTCTCAGAAGGAAGGTTGGGCAATCTGCTTCTGCAGTGATACTGCCTCGGAAACCCAAGGAGGGGTCGCTATGAGTCGGGTCTGACTCGACAGCACACAACAACAACATAGGGTTGCTATGAGTCAGAATCAACTTGATGGCAACAGGTTTGGTTTTAGTTATTATGAGCCCCCAGTTGGGTACTGTGTGCTGTCCAGGTGGCCCCTGACTCACGGCAACCCCATACACAATGAGATAGTACTGTTGGTGATCCATAGGATTCTCACTGGCTGACTGTCAGAAGTAGATTGCCAGGGCTTTCTTCCTAGTCTGTCTTAGTCTGGAAGCTCCACTGCCGCCTGCTCAGCATCGGACCAGCATGCAAGCCTCCACTGGCAGATAGGCAATGGCTGTGCGTGAGGTGCACTGGGCAGAAATCAAACCCTGCAAGCGGTCGTCTAAGATGCAACTGTTGGTCCCTCCTCATCAGGAGCAAAGAAGAGTGAAAAAAATTAAAGACACATGGAATGGAAACAGTCCAAAGGACTAATGGACCTGACACCAGAACAACTAGATGGTGCCCAGCTACCACTGCTACAGACTTGGAAAGGGATCAGAATTGGAGATCCTGGATAGAGTAGAAGAAAAATGTGGAACAAAATTGAAAAAAAAAAAAGCCCAGGTTTACTGGTTGGGTAGAGACTAGTGGAGCCCCCAAGACTATGGTCCCGAATTGCCCTTCAGGCCTGGTATTGAACTCACTCCTCTGGCTTAACTCTCAGCCAAACAATAGGCCTACTAGCAGAACACCTACACCAGGGAGATGCACTCCTTAGAGCAATCAACCATGGGAGATCATTTGCACAGGGAGAAGGGTAAGGAAGCAGAAATGCATAGGCAAGAAGGACTCAGTGAAAGAGTAACCACAGGGAGGAAGTGGGAGGAGAACTGTTACACTGCAGGGAGTGTAATTAGTGTCACAAAACAAAATGTGCATGAACTACTGAATGTCAAACGAATCTGCTTTGTGACATTTCACCCAGATCATGTGGAAGGCAACAATTCTACCACTGAACCACCGCCCACTATCACAACCCTGTGAGGGACTGTTATCACCCTAGTTTTGCAGTTGAGGAAACACAGACTCAGATGGGTTAAATAACTTCCCTACATTCACACAGGTGTGCCTGATGGCACAATGGTTAAGCATTTGGCTGCTAACTGAAAGGTCGGAGGTTTGAACCCACAGCCACTTCACTCCACAGGGGAAAGATGTGGCAGTCTGCTCCTGTAAAGATTTATAGCCTTGGAAACCCTATGGGGCAATTCTACTTTGTCCTATGAATCAATGCAAAGGCAATGGGTTTGGTGTTTTTTTTAGAGTCACACAGCTGGTGAGCGCAGCAGAATCAGGGTCTGCATTGAGGTTGCCTCGCTGTTGCTTGATCTCTGTGACCAAGTCTCTCTGGTGCCCCCACCCCACAGGACAGAAGTCCTGCCTTTCTCTTTTCATGCTTCCTTCCTACTCTGGGGACCCAAGTTCTGCCTCTGACTGCATTCACCCTGGAACCAGAGCCTGCCACCTGCTGACAAACCTCTACCAAAGCTGACGACCTGTCTCCTGTGTGACCTACTGCTTGCCTGGATGGTGATGACAAACCCTGCAGCTTGCAGCTTCTGCCAGGGTGTCCCAGACGCTGGTGCCTCCTGGCATCCTTTGCCTGTTAGTGCATACTCCAAATAAGCAAACGCCCTGAGGGTGGGAACTACATCCACAGCACTGCACAGTTCAGGACTGGCCTTGACACATGCTGGTGGGGAGAAGTTCTCCCCAAGGCCGTGGCTTTCCCACCCCATCCTGCTCCACATGGCTCTTTACTCTTAGCTCTATGATTCACTGCTTTCCTCCCACCCCTTTGTTACCTTTGCAGGAAATGGGTATATTGAAGGCAAAGAACTAGAAAACTTCTTTCAAGAGCTGGAGAAGGCAAGAAAAGGCTCTGGGATGGTAAGCCCAGCCCCCCCCCCCCACTGTTCACATATTTCTGTCCTCCCTACCTGTACCTTCAGGCACTGTATGTCCCAAGATGAGTGTCCCATCAGTGGGCCTGACATCATTGGTCTTGATACTTGGAGCTTTTCTTTTATTTACAAGTACTTTTTTTAAATGGAATACTCTCTGAAAACAGTGCCTTGCCTCAATATCCTTAGATGCCTAGAACGGTCAAGAATGGGCATCAGGGGTTCACAAACCCCCAAAAGGGTAAAGCGTGCCTTTGTATACGTAAGTAAGTCTGAGTCAGGTGCCGGTTTAGAACAATCCTCAATTTTCCTAGGTAGAGTCCACAGCCTTCCCAAAATGCTCAAGGCCATGACTCAACACTGAACGCCTAGGCTAGTTTTAGCGCCTTTATTCCAGCTCAGGCTTTCTCAGCCTCAGAATTATTGGCATTTGGAAGTAGATAATTCCTTGTGGTAAGGGGCTGTCTTGAGCACTGTCCAGACATTGCCAAAAGTGCCCTGGGGGAGTGGCAAAATCATCCCCAGGTGAGAAACACTGTTCTAGACCAGCAAAGATGGGATCCTCAGCAAGAGCCTGAAGGAAAATTGAGGACCGTTCTAAACCGGCGTCTGACCCAGATGGTACTGGCTGCCCTCATCTGTGGAGGGCACACTGTTCTTGTTGACCTGCCTGAAGTGACTCTAGATCACGCCCCAGCTCCTTAACGGCAAAGAAGATATTTCCCCCGCTGTGAAGCTCATACTATAAAATTTGCTAAAGCCTTTTGGGGGAGGCATTAGAAATAATGGCAAGCCAAGGTAACTGGAGCTAGTCTTTGTGACTCCTGTGTCTGGCTCTGGAATACGTGCAGTCAGACCCACTCCCTCCCACCAGCTCCTGTGGGTCCTTTGGGGGTCTCTCCTCTCCCCTGCTGCGTGTCTGTTGGCCAACTCCATGGTTAACAGCAGCTCTTCAGGAAGCAGTTTGGGAGATGAGTCACAAATGCGCCAGTGAGGGCTCCAGCTTGGTAGTGTGCCCCACCGAGAGGAGGTCAGAGCTGTGGGCTTAAGAGGCTTTGAGGTGATTCATGGGTCTGTTTATCAGCAGCCCCCTGCCCTCCCTCATGAGTAGGATAATGAAGGCTGGATCACGGAAACACAGGCTTCCAAACTGATCCTGGCTCAGTAGGCAAAAGAACATGTTTTTATGAAGTGCTTCAATTCTGAAACCCTTCTCTTAGTCATCCCCTTCCTCAGATGGCATCAACAACAGTCCCGGCAGATACCATCCAGGACTGATGCTCAGAGCAACTGTTACATGGTAGAAAGAACAGTGGACTTGAAACCATGAGGCATGAGTTCAGATCCTGGTTCTGCTCACTGAGTGACCTTAGGAAAAAGTCACTTCATCTTAGCCTCCATTTGTGTGTAAAATGGAGGGACCATAACCTCATGAGGCTGTTGTAAAAATTAAACAGGATGCCATGCCAACATTTGTGATAAATGCCTAGGAGCATGCCAGCAGCACTGTGGGTGCTTAGTAACTGTAAATCAATACATACTGGCAAAATTGAGACGAGTTCAAATGGTATAAAGCATAGAAGAGATGTGGGAGAGGGCCCAATCCTGCCAAGCACACAGCTCACCCGGCGGTCACCAGAAAGGTGAAAGGAAGGCATCAGCTGGGAAAGGTGGAGTCATCTTTGCTTGGGGATGAGGAACAGCTTTTTAATGCAAATAATTTCATCTCAAGCCAGGGAAGGTTTTATAACTTCAAGAGAGTCTAAGATTGAAGATAGGCAACAATGAGCTAAAGGAACTGTTAAAGTTTACTATCTTAACATTAGTCACAATAACTGAATGGGCTAATTAAATTACTCCTCTTCATATTCTCCCTGGCATGAAGTCAGAGTGAAAAATATTGTGGAGTTGCCAGTTAGTCTTTAAAGAACATGCGCAATTCACCTTGCTGTAGTAGAGGGCAGGAGCTCCTCAGTTCTCACATCTGAGAAATGGGAGTAAGTGCCCACCCTTCCAACAGAGTTATGGTTGAATCCATCTCAGAGGCAGAGGTGCATGGTAGGAAGCATGCATATGTGTCCTGTTTCCCTTTGGAAATTGTGTGATGAGCCTTGAGAAACAGATGACTTGGATTTGGTCTGGTCTGGACTAGGAAAGAGTTGCCGTATCACTCAGAGCATCAGCTCAGCCCAGTTCCAGGCCCACAGACTCAGACACAAAATGACCCCTGCTGCCACCATGCCAAGAGGGTATGAGACCCATGGCTCAGATGTAAAATCTACCCCCTCTGTCTTTCTACAGATGTCAAAGAGTGACAACCTTGGGGAGAAGATGAAGGAGTTCATGCAGAAGTATGACAAGAACTCAGATGGGAAAATCGAGATGGCAGAGGTGAGTCCTGTTGTCCTGGTTGAGAGCTGTGTGGGAAGGGCCAATTGTCCCCTGTGCCTCTCCCATGCCCCGGGCATCATCCTTGGGGTCTAAATGAAGTGCCTTAAAACGCTCTCTAGGTATATGCCCCAAAGAATTGAAAGCATAAACTCAAACCAACACACGTATACCGGTATTCACTGCAGCTTTAGGTGGTGGAAATAACCCAAGTGCCTGCCCATCAACAGATGAATGGAGAATGGATAAACAAAATATGGTATATCCATACAATGTAGTGTTATTCAGCTAAAAGAGAAATTAGCTTCTGATACATGTCACCTCATGAATGAACATCCCATGACATGAATGCTAAATGAAGTAAGTGATTTCTCTTATATGAAATCTCTAGAATAGGTAAACCCATCAAGACAAAAAAGATTAGTAGTTAACAGGAGGGTGGGGAAGGCTGATAGGGAGTTTTTTGTTTTGTTTTGTTTTGTTTAAAAACAGAAAAAAAAACTTCTCCTCTTGTCCACCAGTACTGAGGCTGACCAAAGAGAACAATTGGGGCTTTTTCTGCGTATCTTTCCCAAGGGAAGAGGAAGCCACGAGACCCAAATGCCTTCAGGGTCTAAGAGGGGCTATAAACGGATGGTAAACCTAGTCCGAGACAGTAGAAAGAGCGAAGATTGGTGAACAGGAGCGCTCACACTCCGAGGGCAAAACTAAAAAGTGTGTGCGTGCATGTGTGAGAACATATACACATATACACACATACATGTATGTACAGCATATGTGACACATCCTGCCACACAGCCTCTCCATGGCCATGTTACCATCCTTCCTACAGGAAGCTCTGATCTGCTCCCTGGCAGGTACTGACAGTGTCTCTGTATCCCCACAGCTGGCGCAGATCCTGCCAACCGAGGAGAGCTTTCTTCTGTGCTTCAGGCAGCACGTGGGCTCCAGTGCCGAGTTTATGGAGGTGAGGCCAAGATGCTGCTTTCTTCTGCATTTGGGGACTGCCTTCCTCCCATGTTCACAGCCAGCCTCACCCTAATGCCTGGCGGTGGTCCCTGGGAGATGCTAACTAACCCCTTAGAACTCTGCTACTCCAGGTCTGGCCTGTGAACCAGCAGCATTATGATCTGGAAGGCTAGAAACAGAATTCCTGACCTGCATCAGAATCTGCATTTTAACAAGAGCCCAGGTGATCTGTGCGCACATCAAAGTGTGGGGAGTAAGAGGAGAAGGAAGCTTGAGTTGAGTACAAGGGAAATGCTCTTCACACGCTATCTCCCTTGTGGGGCTCTGTCCTAGACATTTGTCTGTTACAGGCTCTGAGAAACCGTGTAGTAAAGAAACCTGTTCCATTTGGTCTGTCTCCAGTATCTCCCTACTTTTCTTCTCATTCAAGAGCATTACAAATTTCTACCCAGTCAATTCCAACTCATGATGATCCCATGTATATCACATAGGATTGTGCTCTGTAGGGTTTTCAATGGCTATTGTTTTGGAAATAGATTGCCAGGCCTTTCTTCAGGCACCTCTGGTTAGACTCTAACCCCCAACCTTTTGGTTATCAGTCAGGTGCATTTACCACATAGACCATCTTTGTTGTTGTTATGTGCGGTCTAGTCGGACCCGACTCATGCCAACCCCTCCTTGGGTTTCCAAGGCAGTACTACTACAGAAGTAGAATGCCCACCCTTCCTTCTGAGGAGTGGCTGGTGGGTTTGAACCGCCAGCCTTCTGGTTAGCAGTCACCTAGGGACTTCTTAATAACATCCACGTCCCTCAAAATCAGTTCCAAGGAATACGCTTGGAGAAAATGCTCAAGGTTGGCCAGAGTTCTGCCAACACCACATTTTCCTTGACCACACTACCATAAAGAAAAGAAGGAATAATGCACCATCCTAACGCTGGGAATGCCCAGGGAGAATTCCAGTTTCCATTATCTTCCAGGCTTGATCTCTGAATGTGGTCTGGGCCGCAGTGTCCCCCCTTTACAATGAGCAGCACTATCCTTGCAATACAAATTTTTTTTGATCTTCATGTGAAATATCACATCCAATTTTAAGAGTCTTTTGAGTAAAAATCACCACGTCCTACTTCAACCAGGTAGTGTTAGATTGAACCATATGAAGTTGCCTATATTTAACCATTTTGGACTTATAAAATATGGCAGTTTCATATGGCTCAACCAAACAAGTTAATCCTGATGTCAAGTATACTACCAATTATTTCTTGCTACATTTCTGGGACTCTTCTTAGCTGTCTGGTGTGTGTCCCTCAGAGTGAAACTCAGCCCACACCCACCACACACACTGCCTGCTGTGATAAATAACGGCTGGCCTTACATGTGACTGGTACTGTCATCCCGTTGTGCTAAATTCTTTTCTAGCCACGGTAAGCCCCTTTCCCTGACTTCCTGCTAGCCCAGAAACCCACATGGCAGTGAGTTTTCCTTCATGGACAGAAAGTCGCTTAGCAATAGCCATTTCTCAGGACAGAAGAGTCTGTCTTTAAATGACAACTAAGCATCAGATATGGATTTAATTTTATGGTGTTTTAAAGGATTTTCTCCAGTTTCTTATAAGATGGCATGATTCAAGAAGCTGGTAATTGATATTCTTGAATGTGTTCTTGGTTCTTCTCTTGCCTCTGGGGGGAGAGGGGCGTCTTGCAGATCCTTATAACTTGGCAGCGTTCTACTGTGTCAGTTGTTCTGTCTATAGAAAAGGGGAGTGACATTCCTGACAATGAGGCAGCCAAAGACTGACAATCTGTTCCATGGCTGGTCTGGAAAATGGGGGTGACGACAGCCTGCAGGGGCCAAGATGCTTAAAGAGGGACAAAGAACAGCGCTGTCCCACTCTCTGCCCCTGCCTCTGCCTGTCTTCCCCCCTCTTCTCTTTCCCCTCCCATCTCAATCTAGTTGATTGAATTTTTCCCTTTCCCCTTTCCCTCTCCTTCCCCCTCCTCTTCCCCCCACTTCTCTCTCCATCCTCCTCTCTCCTTTCCTCTTCCCTCCTCTCTTCTCCTCCCCAACATCTCCCCTGTTCCCTCCCCTCCTCCCTCTTTACCCTCCCCATCCCCATCTAGC